AGATCGAAAGATTGGTCGGCTGCTTTGCTCCATGGACATTAATTGTGTGTTTTGGCAAATTATGGAAAGATACCGTCTAAACTTTTGGCCTGAACCAGTTTAAAGATGCTTAGAATGAGAATTACCTAGGTTCTCAGTTGGATTGCGTGAAATACATTTCTACACCTGATATTATTCTGACATTCAGTTTCTATTCCAGTCAGAAACAATAATATAGTTAATTTTCCATTCCAAATTTCCCTAAATGCGAGCGAGAATATTTCAGATGAGATAAAGGAAAACAGAAACAGAAATAGGTCGGTATTCCAAAACCCTTTACAAAATATGGTAAACTAAACGGATCCTGTTGGTTTACGCTGCAAATTCTACATGTTATGTCAGTCTTTTTGAACCAGTTTATTGGGTGTATTCGAAGGATCAACTTGACGACATAAAAGAAACACGATGACGATGCTGTATCTAGTTCTCTTCCTTTTCACCTTGCACCGTTTAGTTTCTTGATGACTCCATAAGTGATCGGAAAAGAACGTTTTGAGAAGAGAGAATGACCTCCTTTCTCAAAAAAAGACATAAATTGTATCAGAATCGACTCAGTACTCTTAAGACCCCACCATCCCAACCGCAACAAGAGCACGAGGGAAGAAAACCTCATAAGGATGTTTCCGTACCGGAAAGCCCTGAAGCAAAATGCAAGCTGAACAGTGTTAAAATGATTACCAGAATATTTCAGGCATACTGACTTGAGGGAATGGGAAACTGAAGCTGGGAAGTACATGTAGACAACAAAAGGCGGATTCGCGACCAGGAAGAAACGAGTCGTTCTCAATCTGTTCTAAATCTTACCTAATGAACCTACGAAGACGTTCTTTTCAAGTGGCGTGATACCACACGGCCCTTTGTTTCACTCTAACCGGGACAAAACCTGGTGTCAACTGAAGAATTTCACTTTCTGCCTAGGTTCCCACTCTNAGATCGAAAGATTGGTCGGCTGCTTTGCTCCATGGACATTAATTGTGTGTTTTGGCAAATTATGGAAAGATACCGTCTAAACTTTTGGCCTGAACCAGTTTAAAGATGCTTAGAATGAGAATTACCTAGGTTCTCAGTTGGATTGCGTGAAATACATTTCTACACCTGACATTATTTTGACATTCAGTTTCTATTCCAGTCAGAAACAATAATATAGTTAATTTTCCATTCCATATTTCCCTAAATGCGAGCGAGAATATTTCAAATAAGATAAAGGAAAACAGAAACAGAAATAAGTCAGTATTCCAAAACCGTTTACAAAATATAGTAAACTAAACGGATCCTGTTGGTTTACACTGCAAATTCTACATGTTATATCAATTTTTTTGAACCAGTTTATTGGGTGTATTTGAAGGAGCAACTTGACGACATAAAAGAAACACGATGACGATGCCGTACCTAGTTCTCTCCCTTTTCATCTCGCACCGTTTAGTTTCCTGATGAATCCATAAGTGATCGGAAAAGAACGTTTTGAGAAAGGAGAAGGACCTCCTTTCTCAAAAAATGACATAAATTCTGTCAGAATCGACTACTCTTAAGATACACCACCATCCCAACCAAAACAAGAGTACGAGGGAA